GATTCAATCAAATGCGAAAATTAGTCACTGTTTTTTTATATACTGAAAGTATTGCGTAATACAATTTAAATTTATTTATGAAGAGTGTACCTAATTATTTAGTAAATAACATTTAAGTAGGTAGATATATTTGTTCCAAATTTTCTATTCCTATAATAGAGAAGACCGAACTGGTTCTCTTGTTTCCAGTACCTATCAAAAATCTGGGTTAGGTAGGTATTGTATTATTTAACAGTCTTAGTAACTAAATAAGAAGAGAGCAAAAGAAAACAGTTCATAAGAAGCTTTTCTTAGAACTGTTTTGTATCTCTCCTCTCTCCTAGAAATGTATATTTTTTATACATTTCTAGGTGACCTCCTATACCATGGCAACATATATTTTTTCGAACATAAATAAAATATCAAATTTATAAAGATCTCGAATAAAAAGAGCACCAGTTTTTACTTATTTAAATAAAACGCTTTTTACATTAAATTGAACAAACAAAAATTTTTACCCAGTAAACAATAGAACACAGTTTAAAAATAAAACAATTATTGAAATGTTTACTATCAATCTACAAAAAAAAACAATAAGAAAATAAAATTGTTTAGTCTGTGGTTACTGTACAAACCTTTGTAGAGGACGGTACTAACTACTATTTGAAATAAAATGGTTTTAATGTTTTCTGATAGAAACTACGGTGTTGTTTAAGTGCTTTCGATGAAAGAGCTTCATTTAGTATTTTATTTATATAAAACGTTGTTGTTTTGGCAAAATATTAAGTAAAACCTATCAAAGTGCTCTGTTTTTAATAGACCTAAAGGCATTCTATCGAACATGCTTAAAAATGTTCAATAATCGAAAGTCGATCATGGCAAACATGCTTGAAATGTGCGTCTTACTTTTGATTAACATTTCAACATAAGCTTACTAAGTGACAAGTCCTCAATTGAAGCATGTTTTCGTGCTTAAACTTTGCTGCGTAGCCTTAATAGACTAGACTTCGCTTGACCTAAAAACATTAAGCTCATTGGAAATAGGAATAACCATATATACTTAATTTTATTTTCGTTATCCTGGTCTTGAATAATAATAAATACCTACCAGATGATATTGAAAATTCTACACCATTGAGTCTTAAGATCTGTTCGTCAAACTTGTTTAGTAAGCTATTGATGTAGTTGCTTTTCTTAACAGCACTAGATGCTTCGTAATATATATAATTTAAGTGTGGGAGAGCCATGCTTCGGCACGAATGGGCCGGCTCGACCGGAGAGATACCACGGCCTCACAGAAAACCGACGTGAAGCAACGCTTGCGTTGTGTTTCGTCGTGTGTGTGAGGTTACCCGGAGGCCGAATTACCCTCCCCTTCCCCAATCTCCCCAATTCCTGAATCCCCAATGATCTTCAAACTCCTAATTTCCAAAAAGGCCGGTAACGCACTTGTAACGCCTTTGGTGTTCCTGGTGACCATGGGCGACACCGATTGCTTACCACCGATTGCTTATCCGTCTGCTCGTTTACCGACTTATGCCATAAAAAAATATATAAAAAATAGTCCAGGAGAGGAATAACACAGGTCGTTGATTTTGCAACGAAACAAAGAAACTAACAAAAAATGGACGTAGAAAGAAGGTCCTGTCTATTTCTGTCTACAATGTTCGACATATAGACATCTTTTGCTGATTCGATTTCAAAGACTTGTCTTTCAAAAATGATCTTGAAAGTATTGTCATTGTAATGTCAAGTCTTAAGACAATGTTCTGTTGAACTGGTGACTCCATTCGTTTTGTTAATATTGCTTTTTAATCTGTAGTTAACCCTTTGATCTGGCCTGTCTACATTTTGTCTAGGTTTGATCTGCGTGGGTTGTCGCGACTCGCATCTTTATTCTTTTGTTTTATGTCTGTCAATTTATATTTTTGTCAGTACTGTACATCCATGTCAATTGTTTTGTCTTGAATGGTTGGCGGCTTAATGCACAGTCTTTACCGCTGTATCGGTTTTTTCCAGAATTTAAAAATAATGGCATAGATATGAATGAGATTTAAAAAGAAGTTTTACAAAAATTTTTTAAGGCGCAATTATACCTATCTACGGACTGAAATATAGAAACTGTTTGCATAGAACCTAAACCACATTGATAAATAAATACCTTAATATTATACACAGAACAGTGTGTGCGTGTGTGTGTGTGTGCTACCTATTAATAGACCGCTTCTGTCACTTAATTTTCAGTCCAGTCACATTGATTAGTGTGCAATGTTGTTCCCGTGTTATCGTTATTGACAGCGAACCGGGTACACCCACACAACTTTACATAATCCATACATACATGTTGACAAGCACACTGTGGAATAATGGCGTCATCAGATTGGAGTGCCGTCGTTTGTGAACTAAATCTTGACACAAACCTTCTTCCCCAAAGGGTTGCCAAGGCATTTTTAAAGCCTCCACTATTATAAATGTCTATTGGCGATGATTGCTATGCACCAGATTATCCGTCTGTTCATTTGTCCTCAAATCCTACAAATAATTTCTTCACGTGGCCTATTGTATCTGTGTAGTTCTCATTTATTAACCCTTTGAGTACCGTCATTATAGACACAATTAAAGAACAATAGGTTGCGGTCACCGGTGTCCTCGCGGTGTTTGACAGTTTAAATATATATACAGGAAAGGTACTAAATTATAAACATGAGTTCATATAAAATATCGTTTAAATTTTAAATATCCGTTAAGTTGTCTATTTTAAAGTCTTTTAAATTTTAAAGTATTTTAAAGCACCGAGTACTATGTTAATGTCACTCTTAACAAGTTCTTAATGCAAGAGGATTTAGTGTGATCGGCACATGGAACTGATCTTGTTAACTTCGGTCAATAGTTGTCTTCTTATTAAACTTCTATGTATGGTTATACATAACACAATCACGTATACTACTACCTGATATTATTACTATTATCATAAAATTAATCTGCTTAACATCTCAGTACGTTGCCGTTACCCTACTAAACTTCTCATATAACTACATACATGGATACTTGGATAGTTAGACATATAGACACATTTAACAAGCACGGTTCCGGTACGGCGTTTCTTGCTTTGGAAACAATACAAAATGGTGGAAGACGCACTGTCGCCGCGCTGTCGGCACGCGGGCGGCCCGCTTACAGCATATTTATTTATTATTATTTTTTATGGCATAAGCCGGTAAACGAGCCGATGGATCACCTGATGGTAAGCAATCGGTTTCGCCCATGGACACCTGGAACACCAAAGGTGTTACAAGTCCGTTACCGACCTTTTGGGGATTAGGAATTTGAGGATCGTTAGGGATTCAGGAATTGGAGAGATTAGGGAAGGGGAGGGTAATTGGGTCTCCGGTAACCTCACTCACACGACGAAACAGAACGCAAGCGTTGCTTCACGTCGGTTTTCTGTGAGGCCGTGGTATCACTCCGGGCGAGCCGGCCCATTCGTGCCGAAGCATGGCTCTCCCACACTTATAAACACACAAAATCTCCCACACTTATATTGACGTTTTGAAATATGTCATATTATGACATAAGATTCTAAATGACAAGTTAATTGCTGGGTTGGAGTCTGGGTTGGAGCGGTGCCTGTTAAGTACAATATGATCTTTAAGAAACGCGGTTCCAACACGCGACGGGTACGGGATTGCGGGGGTATTTCGCGCCGTGAAATATGCTTTGATTTTTTACGACTGTCGCGCTGCTAGTCGCCGCGTCGCGGGTCGCGAAATGCTGCTCATGAATATGAGCCTCTAGCATGGCTTGAAACTGGTCGAGTTCCTCGTCAAATTATTACGTGAGTAAACCGAAAACATAATAATTATGTCTCACGAAAGTTACAATACAAATACATTTCTGTATTCTACAAAGGCTGTGCGGGCCCGCAACCGCGGCGGGCGCGAGAGAAAATCGCGCCGTGAGTCCTTAGCCTTATGGCGCGTTGCCCGGTCACCACGAGATCAGTCAATATTACTTGATGGTACGGTGTTTTACTCGCTAGCATCTGGCGCCATTGGTGCACTGTCACCTCGCTGTCGGCTCGCCATCGGTGCGCTGTCGGCTCGCTGTCAATGTCGGCTTGCTGAAGCCGTAAGCAGAAGGCCGCACACTCAAACTCGTTACCGTCGGCTTTTTATTTTGACATTAAGAAATATTTCATATGACTTGCGATTTAAAGTTCATATTTAAATAACATGTTAATTGCTGGGTTGAAGCTGTGCCGGAGCAGTGCTTGTAGGGTGTACCTTTAACGTATATCATTCAATGCTGTTAATTATCGAAATCTAAGATTCAACCCCCTCTAACTGAACTTATCACTCGAACACACGTCTAGAAACAAACACCGGGTACCAAAGAAAAAAATTAATGAAGATAAATGCTATAACAGGAATTAAACGCAATCCTCCCTTCGCCTCACACCATCGAAGTGCACGCACCCCCCTTCTCCCCGTTTGCCACCCCGACACACATACGTTCATGCACAACCCTCACCCACACTAGAACACGGCAGTATTTCAGAGAGTAGTTTATTCAATCATTTTACAGTATAACCTGAATATGTACGTAGATATATTTCAACGAATATGCGCCTACTTTTAAATTATTATTCGAAGAATATAATTTTTGCATTGTGTTTATTTGATTTCATTTAATGTCAATACCGAAACTATATTAAATGTTATTTTTGAAACGAGGCTGAACAAATAAATGTACCTATTCGTGTTTCACAAATGTAATTGCTGTTTACTCTGTAAATTGAATGTATGTTTTTACAAAAACACTACAAACACTAGGCTTTTCACTGTCTAAATAAGGGTGATTTTCGCTTAGCAATGAAATGTGGGTGTACGTACAATTACGGATGTTGCCAAGCGATCATTGCTATTTATGGGCCACAGGGTGCCTGCGGGCCGTGCTTTGCCAATCACTGACCTATCCTAATTGAGCCCAGCGTTAATTCGTACTGTTTATTTGTTTTCCAGGCCATCATCCAAGTTGCGGAAACGTTGTACCCGAACTTGATGCCATTAGTAAACCTTGCAATTAATGGTGTTTTTGGAAAACACAATCAGCCGTTTGTCAATATCACGGCTCGTGAGTTACTGTTCGATGGTATCCCGCTGTGCAAGGACACTGGTATGATAGCAACCATCGCGTGCAACATCATCAGGAACATCGCTCAAGGAGCCCGGAATATTGAACAGTTGGAAGATGAGTCTCTCGTGTTCTCAATCTTAGATTATGTAAGTATTTTAATCAAATTGAATACGTAAATAAGTTTTCTTATTGTTGTGTATATTTGAGGTCACACGTAGTATAGACTCGAAGTAAACCTGTGTCAGAGCAGTTACGAAAACGAACAACAAAAATTATTTAGTCACAACGAAAACAGATGCAGCTACAGGTTTCCCACCGCTACGTCTTCGTTCTGTTTCTCGTATTTCTTAGATTGTCGGTCTTACTACAAATAAAATCTCATTCCTTTGTGACTTTATTTCCTTAAATTCGACTTGTGACTTGTGACCTTTTTCCAGCATCAAACGAGGTCGCAGGTCGGGTCACGATGACGTCAGCACTTGTTGCACCAACACGAAGCAAATCTATGTTCTGTAATCTGACATTATTAGAACATCGTCCAGTTTGTGTGACAAACGACGTGTATTGATCTTAATTCCTAGAAGCGGTCGAGCGCTGCCTCCCCCTCCCTGTACAGGCCACGCCCAGCCAGATCCCGCTCAAAATAGATAGGTGACTGCGGCTGATTATGAATCTAGACTATCGAGGCAAGATGAATGGAACTCCATGGGGAGTGTCTCAACAGGGATATCATTTTCTTAGCTCTTTTCAAAAGACGATCCTTTTCTCTATTACGGAATTGAATTTTGTTCAGAAAAAAATAAAATAAGGGTTTTTATGATATATTGTATGGCTTGTTGGTAACAATAAAAACTCAGATTGAAAGCTCGGCAATCAGTAACCGTAGAGGTTGGTAACAAGGTACTTCAGTGCTGTGTGGTTGGATTGGATGATTTTCAATTCAATTCCGACGTACGAAATCGTATGTAAGTGCTTGTAGTTTGTATAGAAATACGAATCAGTGCACTTGAAATGTATTCAGGTTTCGGCGACGGAGTCAGGACTCTTCCGTTTATTTGGATACTTTTTTTAATGAAAAGAAGTGGACTATATTATACATTTGAGTATTCTTTTTTGTTGAGCCATTCGTTAGTTTTTATGTACGTGTTTGCCTCATTAATTTGATGATGGTCTCGGATATTAATGAGTCGCAATTCCCGGTAGCAAAATCGGGATTTTTTTAAAAGGGGAAAATCATCGAATCGTTGCTCCCGTCTGGGTGAGGCGGGAGGGAGAGTCAGACTCTTACTGACTAAAAACCACCCCGTTCCTTCTCCTGCACGTCGAGCCGGAGCCCCGATTGCCCGTTAGGTTCTCCGCGATGCATTTACTTAGTCTTTGTCAGATGAATGTTAAACCTGGAGAGCATCCTTAGCACATATCTCATAGGCGCCCCTAACTTTTTTGGTGTAATTTTGGTACACGCGTTCCGCAGCGCCACTCAGTACCCTGGCGCCCTAGACACTGGTATAGTTTGCCTTCATGATAATACGTCTCTGGTCTTTGTAGTACACGAAGTGAGTTCGTGACATCTTCGAGAAACCTCTTTAAGTTTTCTGAAGTTCCAATGTTCTCGTCGCATTAACAAACTTGTTGAGGGCAATTACTCGTACTTAGTAGGAAGCTACGACGATGCAAGCAACTAAGAATCTTGTATTTTGTACGTGGCCTAATTACTCGGTGTAACAGCGCCTAAGGCGATGTTCCTTATCTCACATATTTTGTAGTCTTATTAGATTTAACCAGTTTTTGTTCTTCATTACAATTATATATGACTGCCTCGTTGGCCGAGTGGTCGCAAGTGCGATTGCCGGGCAAGGGGTCTCGGGTTCGATTCCCGGGTCGGGCAAAGTATAACTGGGTTTTTAAAAAAATCTCAGTAGTAGCACAGAGTCTGGAATTGTGCCCGGTATATGGCAATAGGCTCACCCCCTATTACATGGGACTCTCATAACATAAATAGTGAAAAGTGGGTGTTAGAGGTACATTGTACAGTCGCATTAAGTGTCGTAATGTGCACCTCTGCCTACCCCTTCGGGGATAAAAAGGTGTGAGGTTATGTTATGTTGAAATTATAATGACAGCTTTGAGTTTTTATTGACTAAAACTTTTATAATGAACACTAAAAAAATTGTACATTGACATAAAAGTACAATTCTATGTTTATTTTATTTGTAAAACCGAGAATTTCATAACCGTCTTTAATAAATCATCAGTATACACTTGGACTACAAGCTCTCCTCTACGTAAGAGACTTCACCATAATCTTTATACTTGGCAGGCTTCTGTGCTTGCCTTGTGAAATATATTTGAAGAATTTGGTAACAAATAGTATACTTGGTAATTTATATCTTTACAGAAAGAACAACTACCAAGCGAAGAATATGAGGTACTAAGGGGTCTCAATGACCCTGCAGATTTAGGTCGTATCCTGAAATATGGTGGCTACAACCGGTTCCGACACTGGGCCAAGAGCCCTGAAGGTGGAGTGACTCCCTGTAACCAGATCAATGGTACTGATGCTGGAATTTACCCACCTTTCGTCAATAGGGAAGAAAGCCTTTACGCTATCAACACAGACATCTGCCGGTAAGTTCTATGTCCATACCCTTAAGGGTCAGTTTTCAATGACCTACTTTTATATTAAACCACAGTAGTATTTACTCAACGCTCTCGAGGAATAACTGGCACCTAATTGTAAAGTTCAAATTCATCAAAAGATGATATAAGTTTTTAGAATTATTTACTTATTCACCAAAAATTACCAAAAATGTCTTTACACAATTTCTAGGGTTTAATTGATATCTTACAATACGGAGTTATTAATATTATTCTTGTAAACTTAAATATCCTAAAAAATCATACACATAATATCGCTTTACTGGATTATTAAACGTATCTTTAATGACAAAAAAATGCAGTGTTCTGCTATTGAGTTACTTATTAAATAAAAATAAAAAAATTCCCGACGGGCCCTTCCCTGCCGGGCAAAGGGTGTCGGGTCCGATTCCCGGATCACCGGGCAAAGTATGACTGGGTTTATTGAAAAAAATCCTTGTAATTACACGGACTCTGAAATTGTGAACCTCCTATTACATGGGACTCATAACGGAATTAGTAAAAAGTGGGTGTTACATTGTACAGTGGCATTGAGTGCCATAATGAGCACCTCAGCCAACCCCGTCGTGGCTAAACGGCGTGATGTTATGGAAAATTCCCAAAGAATTAAAAGTGTTGTAAGTAAAATCGTTGGAAATGATAAAAGGAAAATTTATATAGGTAAATAGTGACCCATAGATACCGAAAATGACATAAGAATAACAGTAAAAAGTCAGCATAACTTACAGGTTTCTTCCTTAGGGGCATTGTAAATTCGTTGTATCCGAAAAATAATGGCGGTTTCGCTTCAGGCAAGACACAAGAGCTACAGAAAAATAATTTTAAATGTTAAAGTATGAAAGAAATATAAAACACAAAATTAATGTAGACCTTCGTTTTTTAAAACGTGTCATTTTATACTGGGATTTTTATAACAGAAATACCCATAGGTCCTACTTATAAGGTACCTACAAAGAAAACGAAACCTTCCATAAGTAATGATTGACTTTTAACCAATGACAGACGTGTAGATACTTTTAGTCAAAGTTAAAGTCAAAATAATTTATTTCAATAAGAACAGGAACTTTTGAACGTCATAACAATATATTTAAATATTAAATAATAAAAAAAAATCAGTCTGTCGGTCAGTCCTCTAGTGAAGCTATTTGTGTAGATTCCTATGGAGAAGAAGGAGCAAGAAACTTCATAGGTTAAGTACTCTTTTTCAATCAGGTTCACAATACAATTTTTGTTTATTTACATTGTTTCGTTAAGTTCAATTATATGAGAACAATGTAACACCAATATTTAGTCAAGGAGACAAAAAAGAAAATACCCTTGAGGACAACAAATTTAATACAGTCTGGAGCTGACTAGTCCCATTTGAACGCACACGTACACCAGCACCGCCCAACTCAACCATATTGTAAGGAATCGAGCGATTCACTGCCCGTGCCACTGCCAATGAGACTTCTGAGTTTTATTTCAAAGACGATTTGGAAAACGAACAACAGCGCACGGTCACATAAAAAAAAGATGTCATAAAACCGCGAAAAAATTCTCCCTTAGTTTTAATTAATCTATTTCAAATATGGCTTCCGCATCACCCCTTTAGGCCGTCAAAATAGATAACAATTAAAGCCTTTGATTCAACCATAAAATCCCTGCAGCAGTTGTCAATTTGTTTGACATGTCGACATTCGTTTGTGCCAATATCAATTTACATGCGAACTGGCAAACTTTATGAAAAAAGAGAACCTGAATTCCCTTTGATCAAAAGCGCATTCGAACGAGTTATTAATGTTGACTTTCACAAAACAAATAACAGTTTTGACCAAAAAATGTACGAAACGGCTCTGTTAGAGAAAAAATTTATACCTATACAAGGTGCAGTTTTGAAACCGTGGCATTTCTCGGGGGCATGTCACAGAAGTCATTAAGGTTCAATGTAAAAGAAAATTTCGGACCAATAGTTAAAAATACGGCTATAATAAATCGTTTTAAGTTCGACAATATTTCAGAATAAGCGACAGCAATGTTTCTTATTGGAGTTTTATGGAATTAGGAATAATATCAATTACGTGTTTGAGTTTGTGTGTGTTAAGCCGCGTTACAAAACTAGTTACAAGACGGCGGCGTGTAGTTCGTACTTAAGGATTTTCGTAATTTAAACAAAAATGAAAAATATTTACCTACAATGTTTTTATTGATTCGGACTCAGAATCGATAGCCGAGTTACCTCCTAGAAAATGACGCGGCTTTAAAACAACACCTTGTATATTAACAGGCAACATTTGCACCGATAGGATACCTGTGCCTGGAAAGACCTCTTTGGTCCATTAATAAGTAAACAAAGACCTCACAAAACCTGTGTGGTAGAGGTAGAGAGTATGTATATACTTACGGCTAAACACCAATCAGTATAAAAGACCGCTGATTGTGCTAAAACGTCATATACAGCGTGACCATAATAAACTGGTTTTAAACGGCTCTTTATGGACCTAAGTAACTAGGTAACTACCTCATAGGTAGGCCACTAACCTAGTGACATAAGTCATATTAAAATGTCTCTTTTATGACAAATATAAATGACCTTTTGTAGTTAATATTCTTAAAAAAGAATTGTTTGTTCCTTTGACTAACAATTATCATTACAATAATCGCTGCAACTCCTGTAAGTCAGTATCTACAGTAGATACAACCATGAAAACACCGGAACACTGAAGTCCGGCGCGTCCTAGGGACATGAATAACTGTCTTGGTTAATACTATACGTATATCGCTACGGACTCACGACGCGATTTTCAAAACAATACGAGACCGCAGTTTTATGCGATCCCGCAGCAGCCCGCTATCACCCGCAAACTTGGCGGTTGATTATCGCAAGATGGTTAAACAATCAGTTGAATTCCAGACCGGCCCTCCAATTGCGACCGCCCGCAAACCGATCGCAAAGCACGCGGGTGCAGCAGGAGCAGCAAACAATCGCTTACGCCGCGGGCGCAAAACGCGTCGTGAAATGTGTTTTACTTTTTCACATTTATATAGTTATTCTACAAAGACTGTGAGCCCACAACCGCGATGAGCGGATGAGAAAATCGCTTCGTAAGGCCTTATAAAGAATCTATATGGAACAGAGAGTATAGTTCCCTAAGATCGGAAAAGGAGGGTCCTCCGACCGGGCGACGTGATCGTGCCTGGCGGGCTTTCTGCCCAACAGTTGTTCGTTGGGATTTTCTATCCGTGTTAATTTGCATGCAAACTTTTCATGTGCGATGTAGGATTTTTGTGACGTCATCCGTTGTTGTTGTTGACAAGTAACATGTGTCGCCACAAATAAAAAAAAATACTTAAATATTTCAACTTCTTTGCTTCATAAAGTAGGTGACGCTAGAAATAGGTTTATTTGTACTGCTATGTAGGTAGATATACCAGCAATCATCAACACTGTTGTGGACTCCCCAATGACCAAACACCGGTAGAATGTATATATTTGTTTTTTATACATTGTTGAGTTAACTAGGAAAATAGGAATATACGGCCTCAATAGTTGAATCGATAAAGTTATGTTTTAATACATATCAAAGTAGTTGTGAGTTATTTGTGTGTTAGTAGAGCGGTCACAGATGGGACTGCCAAGCTGTGGCTACGTCGAGCCTCCAAGATCTTTCGCTGGCTAATGACTGACTCTAACGCGAGCAACTCGTCATTGGATTAATAAATGAGTCTAAAGATAATCGTCGCTTTATAAAAGGGTGGTAACTTTTACTTTAACTGTAAATTCCCTTTTTATCAATCAAAATATTCGAAATTACCACCAAAAATACTGAATTGCACCCTAAATTTGCTCATCAAATAAATCAATTATACTATATTGTTAGATCTTTAAAGCTTAACTGTTTTACTGAATGACTATCTTTTAACTAAAACTAAATCTAATAATTCCTAACCTAAACTAAGCTAACCTATTTTGGAAATTCCGGTGTAATATTGAATATTTTGTGTCAGTGCAAATCAGTATTTTCGTTTTACGCTGAGTAATATGTAGTTAATTTGTAGTACAGTATTTTTTTGATATGCAGTAGGTTATTAGTGGAGAAATTTGTTTAGCTTAAATTTCTAAATAGAGGTGCAGTAAAATATTCCCCTCTATAAAATCTCTGAAAACTATCATAGAAATTCATATTAAAACCAACAACCAATACTGCATTACATACGTCGTTTAAGGGATAATCCAGATACTTTTTTTTTAAGGGGGGAAAATCATCGAATGACTGCTCCCGCCTGGGTGAGGCGGAAGGGAGTGTCAGACTCTTACTGACTAAAAACCACCCCGTTCCTTCTCCTGCACGTCGAGCCGGAGCCCCGGTTACCCGTTAGGTTCTCCGCGACATAATCCAGATACTTTTTTTTTTTTTTTTTTTTTTAAGGGGGGAAAATCATCGAATGACTGCTCCCGCCTGGGTGAGGCGGAAGGGAGTGTCAGACTCTTACTGACTAAAAACCACCCCGTTCCTTCTCCTGCACGTCGAGCCGGAGCCCCGGTTACCCGTTAGGTTCTCCGCGACATAATCCAGATACTTTTTTTTTTTTTTTTTAAGGGGGGACTGCTCCCGCCTGGGTGAGGCGGAAGGGAGTGTCAGACTCTTACTGACTAAAAACCACCCCGTTCCTTCTCCTGCACGTCGAGCCGGAGCCCCGGTTACCCGTTAGGTTCTCCGCGACATAATCCAGATACTTTTTTTTTTTTTTTTTTTTTAAGGGGGGAAAATCATCGAATGACTGCTCCCGCCTGGGTAAGGCGGAAGGGAGTGTCAGACTCTTACTGACTAAAACCACCCCGTTCCTTCTCCTGCACGTCGAGCCGGAGCCCCGGTTACCCGTTAGGTTCTCCGCGACTCCGAATCGGCATCGGCCCTATTGGGCCCCATCTGTGGTGGTCTGATGGCTCTTTGAGGCGCGCGCGGAACGCGACGCGCCGTACGCTCGGG